TAATCTTAAAGGTTCTGTAAGTCCTCAATTTATTCCCCCCTTGCCCAGAACTACTATTTATTGTATGTAGTGACTCAATCCATTCATCCAAATACTCATCCAGATATGAACTGGTTAGCTTTTCCACCAAACATTTTTTATTTAAAACATTATTAAGAACTAAAAATTCACCACAGTTATATTTCTCAAAAATTTCTTTTACTCTAAAATACCAGTTCTTACAAGCTCTACCCGCCTGCTTAAAACAGTACATATTTACTTCACAATTTATTCTCATACTGTTCATACTTGCAGGTTGACACCAAGTACTCGCCACAAATTTAAGTTGTTTAATAAAGATAGGTTCCCAGCCCATATCATCAGCAACTGCAGCATTTGGAGTGTATCTGCCTGTCCCTACGAAAAAGCTCGGTTCTGTACTGCTTCAATGCAAGAGTACTATCTTGTACCCCAAATAACAGCACTATAACCTATAACAGGCCAAACAATGAAATCATACAATTTTTTAAATACATTGAAAGGCATACCTCAAAGTTGCTTAAATTTTGCAATAATTAATTCCAAGAGCCCTACTAGCTGCCAAGATAAACATAGGAATCAGTGACATTTAAACTATCAGTTCCACACTTGAATGGAAACGATGTTCTTGGTGTCGATATGCTTCAAAAATGTACAGTATTACATTTCTTTACATTGATTGTCATATGATTTGTATTACATTATCATAAAAGTAACATTGCTTCTCAAGCATTAATTTCCCTCAAGAAATCTTTGGTGTGTTTGCGATTTTTTTATATGTTTTTTTTTCTCTCTTAAGAGTTACAATTTTGTACTTGGTTTTTCAGAAATGTTTAGTTTACGTAATTTTAAAGCAGTTGTTTGTAATTTTCACGGTGCCAAACAGCCCACTGGTTTTCTTTCCAAAGAAAATTAACGCGACCATCTAAAAATTACACGGGTTGAAAGTAGTTTTACCACGTGACTCTTGTATTACATTTGTATTTATAACAAAATCTAGCGGAAGAAAGAAAGGTATAATTCGATTATATGATAATTTGAAAAAGATATCCTTTAATCTGTATTTATTAATATGAGCCGCGTCACGACAAAACCAACATAGTGCGTTTGCGACCAGCATGGACCCAGACCAGCCTGCGCATCCGCACAGTCTGATCAGGATCCATGCTGTTCGCTTACCAAATCTTATACAAGTAGAGAAACTGATAGCGAACAACATGGATCCTGATCAAACTTCGCGGATGAGCAGGCTGGTCTGGATCCATGTTGGTCGCAAACGCACTATTTTGGTTTTTTCGTGACGCGGCTCATATACATAGAAAATCCTTCAAGGGTCAACCGTAAGATTACGAACACAATATAATTTTAACTGTCAATAGATTTTTAGAAATATCAATAGGCCTTTTTTCAACATATATTCCCTAAAATTTACAATAGAAACACACAATTTTGTATGGAACTTGAATTTATGCCTAACCATAATGAATACACGAGCTCGTTAGGTCATAGAACAAATACATCGTCGTTTTAACACATGTTTTTGTGACAAGTACGAGTCATGTTCATGTAGACACGATCTTTTGTAAACACTATTTCTTCGAAGTATGTAATTTTTTGTGAATTGTGTTGTGCTAGATTAACGATAAATTGTTTCAAAAATTCGATGGAGTACTTAAACAATTGGAATACTTTTGCAATGTCCAGCAGTAAGATATTTTGTAAGCTATTACCTGCAATTTGGTTATCCCGCCCTTAATATTTTGTCCAGAAATATACGGTGTCACGGTCAGAAGTATGATATTTTGACGTTGCGCGGAAAAGTTGTGGTAAACGCCCTATCACCGTGATATTCATATGATTCAGAAAAAAAGAATGACGCTTGTTACATTTTGTATTTATTTTACGACGTCATGAGAACCTCATTTATTGTATTATTAGCGTGCGCCGTCATTTGAAATTTTCACAGAATTGATATTAATTTTGTAAACATTGTATTGGTTTTTTATCACTGTAGATAGAGGTCTTGTTTTGACATTTGTCTCTTGTAAAATTGAGTACGTTAATTAAATAATGTGAACATTTACTTTCTGAACAACCTTCTTTGTATTAAGCAACCAAGTTGAAATTCTGATAGGATTGTAGATTCCTGACTTTATTTTTGAAAACTGACTGAACGGAACACATCAACAAAGTATTTTGCAAAATAAGCATTATTCAGATGTACAGAATAACATTAAAAATGGAATAATATGTTACGCTTGTCCTATGTTTATGTATAGGTTGGTAATGTAATATATTTCAAGACATATTGACGATTTTTGTTTGTTTTTAGGGTGTGATCTTTATTTTATGTTACCAGCTATACGTCCTGTCGAATGTTTATATATGGGATGGTTATGTAATATATTTCTAGATAAGGACATTGGCGATTTTTGTTTGTTTTGAGGGTGTGATCGGGTTTTATGTCGCACCAACACAGAAGAGGTCATATTACGACTTTCCAGCTTTTCCGGTTGAGGAGGACCTCATGTGTTCCTTCCGTGCATTATTTCAGGCACAAACAGGCACCTGAGTAGATCTACCGCTGGAAAGCTTCTTCACATGAAAGAAATCCAAAGCCCCTGGCGGGATTCGAACACAAAGCGGTGAAGGGGCATACGGCTTGTAGTCAAACTCTGGGCCACGTACGTACGGCAAATTTTTGCGTTCGACTAATTCATAGTATAAACAATGTATTATGTTTTTAACTTTTTAATGTCAAGTTGCAAAACTGCGAACTTACATACAATTTAAAAGTGATTTTGGTAAAGAATTTTATTTGGATCTTAACTTACCACGAAACGAGCGCTCTCTTCTCGCACAATTGCGGTGTGGTATCCTACCACTCCGTGTAGAAACCGGGCGGTATGTTGGTGAAACACCAGAACAGAGACTTTGCAAATTGTGTAATACTGGTTCCGTTGAAGATGAACTGCATTTTGTAATGAATTGTTCTTTATATCAAGACACTCGACATAATTATCTCAGTGAAATCCTTTTAAGTGACCAATATGTAGATATGAGAGACTGTGATAAATTTGAAAACCTTGTAAAACATCACCCGAGAAGATTAGCAAAGTACTTGGTAGCCGCATATTTGAAACGTAGAAGCAATTTGTTCCAAAGATAAAGTAAACATTTATTTAAATAATTGTTTGATCCGCTCATATTTGACACTATTTGTACTATGATGAGATACGAAACAATTTTATCGTTAAAGCATACTTTAATATGTGTTCAATTTATGTGTAATGCGTATCACAATTTGCATTTTTTCATTAACCGTTTTCGTCAACCAGTACTTGATACAGTTGATATTGTGAAAGTATATCTGCTACTCAGAATCTTATTATTACTTTTTCATTGATACGAGTATAAGCACGTTGTAATATTGTGCAGTATAATTATGTGTAACACCACTTTTATATTACACACTTACATGCTGGTATTGACTACTTGTATACTAGAATGAAGTTTCGTTAATCGCATATTTAACATATTTGAATATTGTTTACTTTCCTAGTGTAGAACTTGAATTTTCGTTTCGTTTAAGAACTACACTTATAAAACAAGTAATACAATACACACTTGCACGATTCCATGTCCCGGCCTTGCTAGATTTGTTTTTCGTTTCGTATAAGGCTGGTTATTGCATGAGATCGTATATCGGCGATGTATGTTTCTTGATTGAATCACATTTTGCTAGACAGTAACACAGACACTTGGGGTTTGGAGCTCAAAACGCCTTTAAAATCCAAATAAAATGCATATTTGTCAATCCCAGCATTATAATATTATTATAGATGTTGAAATATGATTTTTTTTCAAAACGGCTTATATTAAGTTTTTTTGATATACACATATATGATCAGTACATGTGCTGGGATTGACAAATATGCATTTTATTTGGATTTTAAAGGCGTTTTGAGCTCCAAACCCCAAGTGTCTGTGGACAGTTATACCACCTAGACTGACGTTAACGAGTTCTTAAATGATGTACATTTTTATATTTTTGTCTACTGTACTGATCTCAAGTAATACTAAGTAATACTAAGTATCTAGATATGTACGTCAAAAGTATGCTTTCACTGTAAACATAATGTAACATTAATAATTGGTATTAAATCCTATAATAATTACACATAAATGAATAAAATCTCTAACGTGTACTGTTGTATACAGTATATTTACTATACTCATGACCATTGATTCGCTTATTGTTTTCATGTTTACTGTTTTGACAAGTATTATGTGACTTATAGGCCCAATGGGCCGGGTGCATGCCTTTATGTAACTGTATATTGTCATCATTATTTATGTTTGCACATGTCACTTTAATAAAATATTTACTTACTTACTTGCTGTTATCAAACACAGAACTATTACAATATTTACAGATGATATTAAAGTTAGTTCACAATATTTCTACATTCATGGAAACATTTAGCAACTCAAGATTCAAGTTTTGGACATGAAATGATTTTTTAGAATGAAATTCTAATATAGAATATAATATGAGTCCTTTATATAATTAGTACATATGAGACATATGAGCCGCGTCACGACAAAACCAACGTAATGGGTTTGCGACCAGCATGGATCCAGACCAGCCTGCGCATCCGCGCAGTCTGATCAGGATCCATGCTGTTCGCTATTATTTTCTCTACTTGTAAAAGGGTTGGTAAGCGAACAGCATGGATCCTGATCAGACTGCGCGGATGCGCAGGCTGGTCTGGATTCATGCTGGTCGCAAACGCATTACGTTGGCTTTGTCGTGACGCGGCTCATATATAAACTGTTTTTGTTCAGATACGGTGATCAAGCGTTTTGCAATTCATTGCTGTCACTACATACTTAAATTTGATAAACTAATTGTATAAATGAAACAATATATTTTTCAGATTTCAAAAACTAATGTCAGTTTGTAACAAGCTTTATGTTTTATTGATCAACGCACATTATTACAGTGTCCTATTTCGTCCACAAAATTTCGTTAGTAACACGCGATAATGACATTCAAATATAATCTTTAGAGATTGAATTGTCTACAGATATACTCAAAGTTCCACAACTATACCCAAAGTTCCACAGATTTTTACCATATTTTATGTTCCACAGATATACCAAAAGTTCCACAGAATTTCCCATACCCTATGTTCCACAGATTTACCCCGTTTCAGTTTTTATTAAAACTGGCACCAAAACTATACATTATTTTTTTTGTCCCAGATTTAACCCCGGCATGTAATGCGCAACTGGTTATGACAAACAATTCGGTAAAAAATCATCTAATATCACATAAAAAGAATGCAATTATGACTAGCTAAATTAACAAAGATAGGGTATCATATTGTTCAATTTTAACTACTGAATTTCTATAAAATTTAAGTAAACATAAACACAACCATGCTGCTAAAGACTGCACTCAATACTATTTAACGACGGAACAAATGGAAGAGGAACGGAGAATAAGAAGTATTATATAAATTTTAATATACTGTTTTTACAACAACAAAAAATAGATAGTTTTAATAGAATTGTTTGATCACAACTATTCATTAATCTGTCAAGCTTAAAAATATCGGTTGGAAAGAAGAGATTTATGCTATTATGTCAATTAAAATACGAACTTTCAAATAAGTAGTGAAATTCATCACCAATAACTTGATAGAGACGTAATGAACAGAGTTTATATGAAAGCTCCAAAGATATACCCAAAGCTTACAAAACATACCCAAAGCTCCAAAAATATATATGAAGTTCAAAAAATATACCCAAAGTTTCAAAAATATACCAAAAGCCACAAAAATATACCCGAAGTTCCACAGATATACTCAAATACCCACACTTAAACCGATATCGTCAATTATACACAGAGCTCCAATCGGAACATCTCGGCTATTATTCATAATATCCTCGGACTTATTACGATGAAAAGTAGTTCTACCACGTGGTTTAAGATGTCAGTGTAATCTTTGATAATGTTTAAAAAATGTATATATTTGACATCCAAATTAAAATAATGTATGTTTTGGTAAAATAATGATGGAAAATATGTCTGAAAATCATAATCAAATAAAACTTTCGGTTTATACACTGATATATTGGAATAAACTTAGACAACAACCCCTGCATTAAAATACTTTTTGTTTCCATGTTTAGTTTCTTAGGATATGTTAGACCGAAAAACCCTATCCATTCTTTGTATTTTTACTATTGTATTCAAGGGCCCTTATAAGGGTCGAGAAGATGCGATTGTCAGAGGTAAACCATGTCCGAGTTAATTAAATTCACAAAGGCTCTTGCATTTGTAGGCATGACTTGCATCACCCCATTTCCAGGTTCCTTCGACCATCTCAATCAATAAACAGTTCTCTGGCTGTGACAATCTATTATTATTGTTTGGTTCTCTCGAGTTCCAATTGGTATACCAATCATCAAGTTTGGTTCCATCCAACCACAGAAATGTGCCCTCCTCTTGCACGTCGGTACCGCCGATCCAGAGTGCATTTTCAGCATGCGATTGAATTGCGTAGTTTTCTATAAACATTTCTTCCTCTAGAGATTTTATATCTGCCAAATGTCCTCCCAAACTTTCACAGTTGACCTTTGCTTCGTTCCAGCCTAATTTCTTCTCGACAACGACATAGTCTGAAATTACATAGGGACCATTTGTTTGTTTCAGACAATATCGATATATATTTTACTGCGTGAACAATAGCCTATAATACTTTCAGTTGTGGCAACCATGGATGCCAATACTAACAGATGCTATTTGTTTTTTCTTTGTTGTTCTTTTGTTGTTGTTGTTTTTATTTGTTATGTTTTAACGTCGCATCATCAAGGTCATACTAATATAGCGAATTTTCAGGTTTCCTGGTTGGTCAATTGAGGAAGGCCTCATGTGCCCCTAAGTGCATTTTTTCAGACACGAACGGGCACCTGAGTACTATTAACCAACGAGGTTTGAGAGTGAAATGCTAGAACAGAATAATGCCCTGACAAGAACACAAAAACATTTTTTAATTTTAAATCTACATAACTTAAAAGTTACTTACTATGCCGCCGATAACATTTCGTTCCTTCCAATGTCGGTGCTAAATTTGTGTCTGAGAATTGCATTTTACACCCGAAACATTTGTCGTTGGCCAGAACGAACACGCCGTAACAGGAAGGAGTATTAGAACATTTCGCCGCACATAGTGCAATCCCTCCGTCAGTATAGCTAAACAAGGTTTTATTTGCGGGACAAGTTAGCCCTGCAAATTCCCATAGCTCAATATATTTGTTGAATTTGTTGTCCACGAAGGCAGCATGAACATTTTCAGCTAAATAATAAAACAATAACTGAAATAATAGAACCGCGCTGGTAGACATCTTTTCTGTTTATGCGACAATTCCAGCACTAGTCTTATGATTGCTTTACGCATGCGCTCTTATTAATTAATTATTAATTAATCAATTTTTAAACATTGTTCTGAAATTCTAGGAAAAACATGGTGATAAAAATCATCAATTGTTGTTATTATGCTCTTCCCCCATATCCCCTCCAATTATTGACCTATATCACCAATAAGCTGCATTGGGAAAGTTATGGAAAGAATTGTATTTAAACACATCTGCATTGTAATGAATTGAAATACAATACAATCAGTGTTTCTTCCGGGCCATTCGACAATTTATAAACTAATGTTTTTTTTTTATAATACCTCTTCAGATTTCGTGGATAATCACATTAACTCTTTCTTACGACTTGAAATGGCACGAACATACTAATAACATTTCAGCTTCGGCGTCAAAAGTATTAGTCTCTATGCGTGCTTTAAAATTACTATAACACTTTGATATTATATTTAATATTATCTTCGTTGTCTTCGCGACATTCCAAGCGACATTAATGTGCGACGAACTATAACTCATATACAATGTTTAATAAACACTCATACCTCAATAATAGTTTTTCTTCATAGCAAATTCAGTATCTACTTTAAATTTATATATCTTATATGCGTCCGATACTTGAGTGTGCATCAATTGTTTGGGATGGGTGTGCTGAAAATGTAAAACAATCACTTGAGCAATTACAATACGAAGCCGCTAGAATTATTACGGGTGCAACTCGGTCAATATCGATAGATTACTTGGTCAAAGAAGTCGGTTGGGTCTCACTCTCTGATAGGCTAATTGTTATAAAGCTAAAAACAGTTTACTACCGGACTATTTATCTTCTTTGTTTCCGCCAACTGTATCAGAAACTACTTGTTATCCTTTGCGAAATAGAAACAACTATATTACCATAGCTAGACGCACTCAATTATATAATGCATCGTTTTTACCATCCTCGTTAGAATAATGGAATAACCTCGACCCCAATATACGAAACTCTCAGACACCCAACATATTTAAATCTAGACTAAAAACTCTGTTTAAAGCACCAACGGTTTCGAAGCATTATTTTTATGGCCAGAGATACTGACAAATATTCATTAACCATCATTCCCCAAAAAACAAACTACAGTTCAACTATTTTTCAGGATAGCAATCTGTGGATGGATCGCACATCAAAATCAAAAGTGTACATTTTTTTAAATTTTAATGAATAAATAAATGAACTGTTAAAAATCAAATACATATTTTAAAGTTTATATGCATGTTAAAAGTAATCATTGTTAACTTTTAGATAATGGTCTTAGAGGATGTCAGATGCTTGTTACCTGAAAAAGTAGCGCCTTATTTTGAAAATATTTGTCATGAAAGTAGCAAAATGTAAAAAATAGCATCTTGACTATTCTTGACTTCCATACAAAATACTAAATCACTATAACTGTACTAATTGCGAAAATTCATCAGCGGAAACAGATGGTTAAGATAATTGGCGAATAAGTAATTCTTGGAAACTATAGAAGTACATCAAATATAAAAAGCTTTTGAGATATAAATATACAAGAGGACCATGGTGACCCCGAGTCGCTCACCAGAAACAACTGATTTTCAGTAAAAGATAAAATACTACATAAGAATGCTACATACAAGGTTTGATGACCATCCATCAATTAATTCTGTAGAAGCAGAGGTTTAAAGGTATTTCTATTTTTTAACTTTGGCAGTCCCTTAAAGGGGTCAATCAAATTAATATGAGCAAACTTGATAAAGCACTACCTAAGAATACTACAGAGAAAATTTGGTGATCATCCATCAATTAGTTCTGTAGAGGAAGATGTCTAAAGGGTTTCTAATTTTAGCTCTAGAGACCCCTAAAAGGGCCAATCAAATTAATATGAGCAAACTTGATAAAAGATAAAAGAATACCCAAGAATGCTACAGACAAAGTTTGGTGATCATCCATCAATTTGTTCTGTTGAAGATGTTTAAAGGTTTTTTTTCTATTTTTAGCTCTGTTGACCCCTAAAAGGGGCCAATTGAAATGACATAAGCAAATTTAAGTGTGACTGTCACAAGGATTCTACAGACCAAATTTGAGGTAAATCTGCCAAGCAGTTTCAGAGAAGAAGATCAACATTCGATGATTGTTGACGCACGACGGACGCCGGAGCATCCCCCTTTGATACTAATAGCCTCACCCTGAACCTTCAGTTCTGGTGAGCTAAAAAGCACGTGTAAGGCATAATGGGCCATAGTAATGTATAATTAACTGCTTTGCCAATTTTAATGTTCTGAATATTTTTTTTTTAAAAGTGTGTGGAGAAAAGTTGTTTAAAATCATAATAAATTCATAACGTAAAAACATATATCGTTTCACAGATAATAGTGCCTTTGAATCTATGACTTGTTAATAATGTTAATTTTCAGTATCTCTGGTCCTACGGGCCCCATTTATCAAGGGAATGCAATTAAAAATTGACGTTTTAAAAACGATCAGCTCCAGAAATATCTGATACCATAATAAATTGTTGTATTAAGAGTCGTTTGAATACTCAATAAGAGTCGAGGGACCTAAATGCTATGTATGTAAGTATGATAAAAATACTTTCGTTTGTTGTTAAGTTTGCTAATTTAAGATATGACATACATTAGTACAAATAAGTTGTTTACTGGTTTCTTACATCTCTAGTTATCACTGTTCTTTAAGTCCTACCTTACACAGTTTTGACTTGCTATACAGGGTGTCTGTGCGTGAGTGCGCACTTGTATTCCCAACCTGGATTAACTTGGTTAAGTCCACAGGCACTAGACACAATTAATTTACCTCTATATGCTCATAATAATATATATAAAGAATATTCTTTATATATAGTATTATGAGCATATAGAGGTAAATTAATTGTGTATAGTGCCTGTGGTTAAGTCACTGAAATGAGGACCCTACCCATTCAGTTTATGCTATCATTTTTCTTAATGCTGAGCTCGAATCCATCCTGAAAAATTCATTTACCATTATTTCTTGAAATGAGGTTTAAAAAGTAAAAAGTTGCCCCGTACTTCACTTCAGTGTTGTTATATTTTTCTGGTCCTTCGGGAACATTGATGCCAGGACAATTAAGTGTTGAGAATTAAGTACGACTCAAGCCGGTGCTAGGGGGGCGTGAGGGATGTTGCATTTATTCATTATCCCTCATGTACAGACTCAATTAAACCGAGTCTGCAATTCTTATGTAATTTTGTTGTGATTAATGCTTCCGATGGATCACTTTGTTTCCAGATTTTGATATGCCTCTGCCAGGGATCAGACTAACAGATACAGAGCCCACCTTAATGGGTAGTACGAATAAGTAACCATCATGTTACTCACAGAGAAACTGACTATGTAATTGTAGGTGTAAATGGATGAGGAAAACAAAAATAATACAGCAACCACTGGGAAATTGTAAAATAGCGAAGAAACACAAAGTTAACATTCCTGAATTGAACAAAGAAATATAAACATAACTATCAACATGGAACTGTTTTGGCATACATGATCAATTACCTTGACCCAAAAACAATAGAGGTCGTCTACGGCACAAGAACAAAGTTTGACAGTCGTGGCCCATGGGTGTCATGTTATTGGTTGGAAACTGTTTTTGGTATGTGAATGTGACCTTTACCTCCAACAAGAGCTGTCGGTAGGACAACAACGCTCGACTATTCTTAGTGCTTGATGGTAAAAGAGCCTTGATAATGTAAAATTTTCTAAGTTTACAAAAGGGCAAATTTTTTCTTTAAATCCATGTTACAGTTATAGGCCTTGGAGAGAGTCCTCCTACGCTCTCTAAGAAGAGTATAATATTTCAAATTGTTTCAAAGCCAGATGACATTAATTCTTAAGAAGCATAATTCTGTCCAAATGCTAGATACAGTTACCTCCCTCTGTCTACAGATTTGGGTCATGATGATGAACAATTGTGCAAAGTTTCAAAGCCAGATGTCAATGGACTTTGAAAATATTTGAGGTATTACATAAACTTTAACATAAATTCTAAGTCGAAAAAGGGGCATAATTCTGTCAAAATGCTTGATACAGTTACCTCCTCCTGTCTACAAGTTGGGGTCATGATGGTGAACAAGTGTGCAAAGTTTCAAAGCCATACGTCAATGGACTTTGAAAATATTTGAGGTATTACAAAAACTTTAACATAAGTGGTTAAGCCGACGCTCGGGTGACTACAATAGCTCTACTTATTCTTATCCAATAGTCGAGCTAAAAATCAATACACCTATGAAGTTTGAAGGCCAATGTCTCACGAGTTGTTGGTCGGACTCGTTCTTGCACACAAGGTCAATGTGACCTTGACCTTGCTGCCCCCCAAAATCAAAGAGTTCATCTTCGACCCGTACTCCTTTAAAGTTTGGATTCAAAGTGCCCACGAGTTATCGAATAATTGGTTGGGAACTATTTTGGCAAATAAGGTCAATTTGACCTTGGCACTTGTGCCCTTGACCGAAATATTAATAGAAGTCATGTACTGGCTAAGACAATGCGGGTTAAGGGCCCATTTACTGTCGAAATATTGGTTGGAAACTGATATGGCATACAAAGTTAATGTGGCCATGACCCTTTAGCCCTTGACCCCTATATCAACAGGGGTCATGCTCTTCCAAAGATCAATGCACTAATGGTTAAGGGTCATTTGTCGGAGAGTGATTCAGTAAACCAGGTCACTGTGACCTTGACCTTTAAGCCCTGGACCCCAAAATAAATAGCGGTCGTCTTCTTTCCAAGAGCAAAGCACTCATGAAGTTTTTGGGTAATGAGCGTTCACAAGTTATTAAATTGGAAACAATGCGAGACAGACGGATGGACAAACATCATGCAGCTTAACACCATGTTCCCTCTTCTTTGGAAAGGGGGGGGGGGGTGTGGAGACTTAAGTACAATTCATAACATTAAAAGAAAAGATATGCACAAGTTTTATATATTTTATTTTTTCAATCATTGCACTATGTTGAAACAGCACTACCATTGCTTCTATCATTATAATAAATAATTACAAGACAAATATGTCAACAACTAAAATCAATGATTTAAATTAATATCATAGAAATTAATATAAATAATCAACAGTGATCCAAGACGAACAGTAACTAATTTGGTTAGTGCTTATAATATATCCAAAATACTTGCACAAATAAAAAGCATGATCTGAAAAAATGACATGGTTCAATTATATCAACAACAAACTTACAATATAAACTACATGTACCTAATTCTTCAGCCGTGCAAAAATTTAGAAAAAGAAAGGACAGATTTTTTTTTTAAATGAATCTATATAAAACAACAGACTGTACTTTAGTATATGGTACTTTAACAATAAAATTCATAATTGTATGAAATACCTAATAAGGCATTAGTATTGTACCTTCAAAACCACTAGATAAAGAACAGAAATTAAATTTACATTACATGATCAACATTTAAACACTTTCATGATTATCAGCAGGTATTTTTTCAGTTTTTTTTGTTTTGTTGTTGTTGTTGTTTTACGTCACTATGACAAGGTCATGTGATAGCTTCCCAGTTCTAGCGGTGGAGAAACAACCTCAGGCTCACAAGTTCACTAGTAAAAAAAAGATCAAGATCAAACGATTCAAATTATGTTTTCTTTGCTGTATAAAAATATGCATTGTTCATATAAGGCTTAAATTATTTTGTATGATGCAAAAAGTAATAAATAGCTGATTTGCTGAGAAACAAACATATTTTGTGACCAAATTTAGAACAATATAAATTTAAAATAACTGGATCAATTTTTTGATCAACTTTTAAATATGTTTTTATATATATATATATATTTAAAAAAAAATGTTTTTGGGTGAATTTTCATAATCTTGAGACATTTAAATAATTAATCAAATTTATCATTTTTTTCAAATGTCTATTGATTATTGATCAACAAAAAAAAATGTCAACAATATCAATAGATACATTGATATCGTCTCTATCAAGACAGCTCTAATTGTTACTAATGATTAAATATAAAGTGTAGACCATGGTTACCGTTTTAACAACACAAAATGGGGACTATGAACACATGATAAGATCTGTATAAAGACCACACATTTGTCTTCTACAACTGCAATGAAATACAGAAAACTGAAAAAAAAAATATTGTGATTTCAAAAAATGATGACATTAAAATATTAAATAACTAATTCTAATAAACAGACAGCTAACTAACAAAGAGGAATTGAAAAGTATCAGTTGCATAAATTTTTTTTTAAGTTTTTAAAACAAGTTGTCTTAGTATCATCAAAAACACTAAATGTTGCAAAATGTTTTCTAATTCTAACCTTTTATTAAATCCTGAAGACTTAAATCCTGCAAAAAGGTGATGCCTGCATTAAAGGGACTCCACTCAGGTTTTTTTGACATGACTTAACTGGAAATATTTTCTCGAGATCAATATTCCATTTGATGACGGTCTAGACCAATAATATATGTGCACAATGTCAGATCATTTGCTCGCTCCGTTTTTCCAGAATAATTATTTTAATTGTGAAAATGACCCTAAATTGAAAAGCGTTGTAACGTTTTTCTCTCAAACCAGACTAAGAATAGCACAAACATAAGATTTCCAATTTATTTCTGAGTACATTGTATATTTCTTAATAAACTTTTCCATATCTTAAAGATATAAGTGCCTCTGTTGACCTATGTGTGGAATTCAAATTGTATGTTTTTAGGCTTTTGGACCTCCATGGAAGTCCTTTAAGTTACCTATAGTCATTAATCTTTTCATATTATAATTTTTTCACTTCATTTACCCACCACTGAAATCACCAGTCATTATGCTCGGATTAGGAATTTTCCCATTTAAGAAAATTTTAATTTTCTAGATGTACTAGAGAAATAACTAATATCAAAATTAAAGCATCATAAATAAAACCTATTTTACAGAATGCCATTTATTACTTTCGCGTAAATTATCAGCCCATGAAAGAAAGAAAATATCAATAACAAAATAAATTTTGCTAGCAAAAATGACACTAAGTGCATTAATACAACATTAAATTACATAAAGGTAATTTGATTACCTCTCTCTCTATTCACAATACATCTTAAATTATCTTTTTAAAACATTTCCATTCAACAAAATATTTAAAGCAACCATCAGTTTTTCTGAAACTTCTTCGCAACTAAATATGTAAACAAACTTGCCCTGCTCCCAAAGGTAACTTCCAATGTTATTCCTTTTTTTTTAAGTTTTAAATATCACAGATGTCAAAATTGCCCATTGTCTTTTTTCAAATTGGGTTAAGGTCACATCTACATAATATAGGTCATATGGCAACTTTCAGCTTTATTGGTGAAGGAAGACCCAGGTGCCCCTTTGTACATTATTTCAGGCACAAACAGGCACCCAGTAGAACCCCAGACTTTCCATAAGCTAGCTGGATAGCTTTCTCACATAAAGGATCAGAAGACACAGCCGTTGCTCGAACCTGCAGCAGTGAGTGGTATGTGGTTTGATGTAAATGACATTAACCACTCGGCCACAGCTGCCCCCAACATGCCGAGTGATATGACTATTATACCAGTGGCACACATAGAGGATATTGACAAGAGTGTAGGGTCAATACTGAATTGTTTTAATGTGTAAAAACTTTTAACATTTAACGTTATAATTTACACTGCTTTTGCATTTGACTCATGCTATCGAATATCCAGTTATCCTTTATCAAACTAAGGTCAGTTGGGCTGTATGTATACTAGAGAATTATGTGAAATCTATTCACTTTGTTAGTCCCAAGAGCTGATCATGCTGATGTAATCCAAGCACAAAATTTTCTTTTATCACATTTTGTAAATTTAGTCACTGTAAATTAGTTTAGAGTCCTCATTTAAGTATCAATTTTCCGTTTCTCTTTTGGTTTGGCACATACCTCTCACTTCACATTTGGTCATACAATCAACAAATACACTGAAAACGTTCTCCGAATAAACTATTTCATATATAATACTTGGTTCCGGGAAATTACTTATTTCATAACACTTCCTGTTCTGCAATTATCCTCTCATTTAACATAACATAAATTTCTCCGATTTGGTCAGTAGACTAGTCAAAACTATCACAATGAGGATGTAACTAATGTCGTGTTGCTAGGCAACGTGGCCGACGACTGTGACAAAACATTTGGCACGGTAACAACTACAACTGGTTTTAAAACTTGCTGTCCGAGGACCTGCCCGGAATGTAGCATAGATGATGGAATACCAAGCGGAATTTGTTTTAGAATCGGTGACGTAAACATGGAATTTAACTGCGCCTGCGTCAAAGCAGAAGGTGTCATCTGTATCCCAGGGGACATCACTGTCATCGGCGTCATCATTTGTGTCAGCTGATTTAATTGAGCCAATGAAACAAGAGGATTGTTAGTCACTTGGGTCGACGAAGCAGCAATAGTTGAAGCTTGCATTGGAACTGCCGTAGATGTTACTAGCATGTTCGACCTTGGAATAGTCACAAATGGCCACGCAAGTTGTTGTCCAGCTAGTAAGTTAGGAGCAAATATTGGTCGTATTGGAATTGATGATGATTGTAATGTTGAAGCGACATTAGCTGTTGGTGAAGCTTCTGTCTTTGATGTAGACACAAGAGCTATCGTTGGTAAAGTATTCAATGCCCTAAGATTGTTGTTAGTTAGTGCCAATGATGGGATAGTCTCCGGTTTTGAAACATTTTTAACAGATAAGGCAGGCATGCCTGATGACATGGTTGCCGGGGTAACAGAAGAAACTGGAACAGTTGTTGAAGATGACTGCAGTCCTACAGCTGGGGCCATCAATGACGTCACCAAAACTGGATGGGCAATCTTTTGTAAAGACATGTAATAAGGGATACTCATCGTTGGCACTCCACTAACTGCACTTACAACTTTACTAGTACTAGTTCCCACTGCACTTGTTATTAGCTTTGTGGATGAGGTTATTCCATCCTTGACAACCATTGGTGGTTGAGCTGTCAACTGTGATGTTACCATAGTAACCACAGGGTAAGGTTGTGACAAAGGTGGTGATTTCAATTGTGCTGCAGTTAACGGTGCAGAAGCCACTGAAAAGAAAAATTGGTAATTTAAAGAAATTTTCTATATCATAAAGTCATGGGACATTTTTAGGCTTCATCTTGGAGAAAACATAAACAGTTTTACAAGTGACCTTAGACTCATCTTAAGGAGGGGTAAAAACACGAGTAATAACTAATATTCATAAGACATTTATGCCTCACAAAATGATTATTAACTTTAAATAATGTTACTTTTGTCTGAATTTCTCACAGTATAACCCCATATTTTCAATTTGTGGTATCATTTTCACTCGGTCGAAGGTTGTTACTGTTATAAAATGTGCAAGCCCTTCTTATCTACAGGTAAGGATTCTGTTTTCATAGCTAGGACAAATCTGAAGACCACCTAATACTAAATTTTTAAATTTAAGCCTTGTTCTTAAAATACTGATGTCTTAAATTTTCTAGTTAGCATTATAATGAGTTTGTAACGAGTTAACAGAAAGCTGTAATTGGCTTACCTTTAGATACTGTACTCGTACTTGACAACATTTTCTGTGAGAGCAAAGCTTGCTGTCTCTGTTGTAGGGTACGATGAAGGATCTGGGTGACGGGCGGTCGTACCGGCGGGATCTCTAGAATCTTCCCAGTTACACTCATCTCAAAAGCCGCCGGCCCAGGGTTAATAGTGTTTATCACAGACATTGAGGGGGAGGAGACAGGTCCTGACAAGCTTAAGGTGATTGGAATTACTTTCTTAGGCGATGGTTTTGGCACAGAAAAAGTTGGTGCAGAATGTGATTTTATTATTCCGTTAATAGAAGATTGCATTGTCATTTTTGGCGCCACAAGTTCTGCATGTGTCATGCTGTTTGGTGTATCTGAAAAAATGTGTTAAGTATATGTATTTAATATCCTAAAAGTTGAGCTTAGAGGCAGAATCTTTGCAATTTTTTGTAATTTTTCATAATAGTATTTAATACATTGGGAACTTTCAACAATTTTATCTAAATGGGAAGGGCCTATGCTCCGCCTAAATTTAATGCAAAGAAATCACTTAAAATATTCAATGTTTCAGATAAGATCTGAACCATGTACAGGCCATGCAAGTTATTTAATGGTACCATAGCAACATAACTTCGGTCCTGTCCATGAAAGTCAAAAACGCTTGAATTGCAAACGAATGGGCAAAGATGGCCCTTATATCATTCATCTGATAGTAAAGGCTCTAAATGACCAGAACAACTTTTATTTTAATTTATAACTCTGAATGAAAAGCAGTGAATTTCAAAAAACAAAATGTACCTTTTTTTATGGAGAGCTTTCGTTTCCTTGGTGATTTTGGTGTAGGAGAGTTAGTTTCCATGGCAAGATTTTCAGCTTCCTCTTCGTCATCATCTTGTTCATCATGGTCACTGGGTGGTGGGGTGCCACGCTCTACAATGAAAATGTACCTTTGTTTTGCTATATTACTAAATTTGTATGAAGGATTTGCCCTTATTTTAACTAAGTTTGTTTGTTTGTTTCATTTTACGCCTTTTCCCAACAGTATTTCATATAGGCGGGTAGTTTCCTAACCATTGTTCCTGGAGAGTTACACCAGTACTAGACTACCTTCCTCCATGTAAAACAACCAATAAAATCTGCAGAAACTTCAATAATAGGCCTACATGTTAAAATGATATCATCATCATCATCTAAACATAAACCTTGTCAAATCTGTGTTAGAGGTAGTTTTTTTTGTGCATCTTGAAGGTTTTGGTGTCTTTAACCTTTATCCACACTAAATATATTATAGTTATTGTACTATGATCTTTATATAGCTGACCCTGGTCTACACTGATTGCATGGTGAGAATCAGTTGCTGCAAGCAGGCTATAATGATTAATGTCTTTTGTGAGGTAAGCAAACTTTGAGAATTGAGGCAAGCAAGCTTTGATAACTGAGGTAAGCATGCTTTGAGAACTGAGGTAAGCAAGCTTTGAGAATTGAGGCAAGCAAGCTTTGATAACTGAGGCAAGCAAGCTTTGAGAACTGAGGTAAACAAGCATTGAGATCATAGGTAAGTAATTTTTCAGAATTGAGGTAAGCAAGCTTTGAGAATTGAGGTAACTGTGGTTAGCAAGCTTTGAGAACTGAGGTAAGCAAGCTTTGAGAATTGAGGCAAGCAAGCTTTGATAACTGAGGCAAGCAAGCTTTGAGAACTGAGGTAAACAAGCATTGAGATCATAGGTAAGTAATTTTTCAGAATTGAGGTAAGCAAGCTTTGAGAATTGAGGTAACTGTGGTTAGCAAACTTTGAGAATTGAGGTAAGCAAGCATTGAGAATTGAGGTAAGCAAGTTTTGATAATTGAGGTAAGCAAGCTTTGAAAACTGAGGTACGAAAACTTTGATAGCTGAAGTAAGCAAGCTTTGAAAACTGAGGTACGAAAACTTTGAGAACTAAAAATAGAAATACAAATGTATCGATTAGTTAAGTAATATAAATTAGGTGTGTTCTTATGGACTTACACCATATCAAGTTTGCAGTATCAGCGTATAAACAGCAGTATCAGCGTATAAACAGCCCTAATAATACATCAAAACAAATTTTCCATTTATGTATTTGAAATTCTTTTTGAAACAAGTTGTAAAAAGCCTTTTAAGATTTACAAAGATTATATTTCCAAATCTTTATGATGACTTAAAACTGTGCATATTTCATATCATAATCTTAACAAGGCTCATTATTACATAATGCTGAAATACCCTGTGAGTGACTCAGTTGCTTTTTGTTCAATGTACTTATCTTTAAACAATTTTTCTCGCTCACCTGAGAAATAGGTCAAAAGGTCAAAGTGTAGCCCCTTATCACCCCAGAAGCACAATTTGAAAACAAGGGACAGCTAAATCTGAAAAAATTTTGTACACTGACTGTCACCAAGGAAAATTTTGTGTAAAATTATTTAAAAACTGAACCAGTGGTTAAGATGTTGTTGTTTTCTAATTTTAGCTCTGGCAGCCATTTTATCAAACAGTTCAGCCTGTCACAAAGTGAAAGGTGAGAGCTAATAAAAAGATGACAGACAAAGAGAGGGAAAACAAACATTTGACCTGGCTGGGGATTGAAGTGTCGACCTCGATCCCCTGGGGCGGGGCCAATTTTGACCGTAGGGGTTTTATTTCAACATGCATGGTAGACATACACTAGAACATGCTTCATGTCAAATATCTAAGCTTTAGGTCTTTAGGATTTTCACAAGAAGATGTTTTTAAGTTCTTACTATATACATGTTTATATAAGAAAAATCAATGATCCCTGGGGCGGGGTCAATTTTGACGCTAGGGCTTTTATTTGAACAAACGAAGATGTTTTTTTTAGTTTTTACTATATATAAATAAAGAAAATCAATGACCTCTGGCGCCAGGCCAATTTTTATCCTAGGGCATTTATTTGTACAAACTTGGTAGACATCAACTAGAAGATGTTTCATGCCAAATATGTAATCTATAGCGGTTTTAGATTGTTAAGAGAATTTTTTTTAAAGTTTTTACTATATATCATATGCATATAAGGAAAATCAATGACCCATGGGGAGGGCCAATTTTGACCCTAAGGCATTTATTAGAACAAACTTGGCAGATATCCACTAGAAGATGTTTGATGCCAAATATCTAAGCTCTAGCTCTTTTGGATTGCCACAATAAGACTTTTTTAAGATTTTACTATATACATGTAAGGAATATCAATGATCCCTGGGGCGGGGTCAATTTTGACCCTAGGGCATTTATTTGAACAAACTTGGTAGACATCCACTAGAAGATTTTTTATGCCAAATATCTAAACCCTAGCTCTTTTGGATTGCCACAAGAAGATTTTTCTGAAAGTTTTTACTATATACATACATGTACAAGGAATATCAATAACCCCTAGGACCGGGCCAATTTTGACCCTAGGGAATTTGTTTGAACAAACTTGGTAGACATCCACTAGAAGATGTTTCATGCATAATATCTTATCTATGTGCTTTTGGTTTGTCACAAGAAGATCTTTTAGGTTTTTACTATATACATATAAGGAAAATAAGGCCATGTGGTTTAGGAGATGTTGTTTAAAGAAATTGTTGATGTCCTCAGGTGAGCTAAAAAGAGTAGCTTATCTAATAATCATACTGCATTTTCAAAAAACATTTTTTGAATGGCTTTTATTAACGTCCATGTTACTAAAAGGATAAGTCATTTAAAAGGATAAGGTATTTCTCTAATCCTCTAATGGTAAAATTAATAATTCAGTGATTTTTTTCCCCAATTTTCAAAACAACCTGTGGCTTTCAGAAGGGGAAAATATAGTGTCAAATTCCAACAGCTAAAAATGAAATTAACCCACACATTTTATAAACTTTTCATTTCCAATGGTAGACATCAACCAGAAAATGTTTCATGCCAAATATCTAAGCTCTAGATCTTTCTTTTTTTACAAGAAGATTTTTTAAGATTTTGTAAAAAAAAATCTGTCGGTCACCATGGCAACCAGAGTTCTTCGTGCAATTTAATTCTTTGAACAATGTTGGTACAGCTTCATGCAAGAAACATCCCTGCAAAGTTTCAACAAATTTGGCCAAGTGGTTTAGGAGGAGATGTTGTTTAAAGAAATTGTTGACGCACGCACAGACGCACAATGGACGACGGACAATGGGCCATCACAAAAGCTCACCTGAGAACAATGTTTAATAATGTCATAAAAAATTTATGTAATACATCATGATAACTTGAATGTGAACAAAAATTTATTCACTTTTTTCATTAATGATACCCAAATTATTTTGTATGCCCAGTGTTTAACTTGTTTGGCATCAAATTCAGAGACAACTCCTTCCTGACCATACAACAGTATTTACTGTTATAACATGTATTCCTGGCTTTTCCCAAGGTATCAGTTGAGGCACAGAAGAAAGGGAACAAAGATGGGTTGTGTGAGTAAGGGGGTGTTCTTATAGTTTCAATGCACAGTAGGGCTGATTTTATTTTAAGGCTCAATGACACTGGTCTGCATTGCTTAAATCAATTGGGGAGAGGCCTTATTTCTACAGTCTTCTGTGTTTTGTTTTAAAAATGCCTCAATTTCTTAGAATCCTTTCACAAATTGTTCTATAAATATGAGTATTTACCTGTTGCTGTAGAAGTTGAGTTGGAATCATTGTCTGTTTCTGGATGGTAAACAAACGCATTAATGTCAACATCAATATTCATGTTATTTAACTCTCCTTTCAATGCATTCATACGCTCCTGAAGAACTATTTTCTCATGGGCAAATCTTTGCATCTCCAACTCAAATTCTCGCTCCTTCCTTTTCAAGTTCTATAAAAAAAAAGATTACTAATTTATTTATTTTATTATTATGATCAAAACAAAAACTATATTATAAACTATATTTCTAATACCCAAAGTGGCAATGCATTCTTTCCCCATACAAATAGTTAAAAAAGTTTTAATAAAGCTAAGGGGAACAACTTTGCACATTCAAATTAATAGTACTGCCATAGTTCACTCCCTTGTACAAACGGACTACTTTCACCCAAGGCTCCGCCCACCTTATTATCAAGCTATCTGTTATCACATGTTTGGTCTATTAATAGGTCTGCACACGCTAAACTAACGACAGCTCTAATTTAAATGAAGCGCATAACCAGGGAGGGTATTGATGAAGATTAATTGGATTTTTTTTCCTGTTTATAACAACTTCCTGCTCACCAACTTTTTAAACTACCGTAGATTATATTGATGTTTTGTTAAATATATATATTAATTTTAAGCCTGATTCTTCACTTAAATTTAGAGAAACCTTCCTGAACTGAAAAGTAGCACATGTAGGTTCACAAATTATCAACAAGTAAATGGCTGTAAAATGCAGTAAAATTCCTCACTGTTAAAATAGCATTATCCATAAAATTATTATATTTTAATATACTAGTATACATGTAATATCTTAAAGGTTTGGACAGATAATAGCACTGTGACATAAATGCTGCAAATAAAGTAACAATATTAATGTATATGTGAACGATAAATATCTCCTTCCTTAAAAGAATGTTCTATACAAACTTATAATATTAACCATCCAAGTTTAGAAATGAGACAAACTTTTCCATAGAATTTAGGTCACAAGTGTATTTGCATTCATACATCACATGTCGATTTATACCACTCCTAAATATAATATTAACTATATCTTAATCAAACATTTAACTTAAAATATGAAGAGGTTTTAACTTTCAAGCCACAGCTTGATAGCAACATGCTCACATTTACTGGTGAAGAAAGAATCAAGATGCCTTTCTTAACAGACCATATTGACCTATTGGTCAAGATGTCCACCTCTAAACCAAGGGATTGTACGTTTAAGCAACCATGTTTCCTGATAATATGCCAGTACTGTTGAACTCCAGGAAACAGACACAAGAGTGGTTCAAAACCAGTGACAGATGTTTTTAAATACATGTCTGAACTGAGATGTTGTCCTAGCTGTACATTATTAAGGCACAAATATAGGGACATTGACCTCATGAAAATTGCCTTGATACATTTTCACATGAAAGACCTCAAGTCTTCCTAGTAGGATTTCAACTTTTAGCAGTATGAGGCAATAATTTTTTGTTGCTTGGTTGGGTTTTATGTCACACCAACAATGTAGAGGTCATTATAGTGACTATGCGGCTTTACCGCTGATGAAAGACCTCAGATGCCCCTCTTTATTTCAGGCACAAACCTGAGAAGAACCACTGATGTTTTGTTACCTAGAGCTCTGGATAGCTTCCTCACATGAAGGAATCCAAAATTTCTGGAGGGATTCGAACCTACAGCTGTGAGGGGCAAGTGAATGAAGTCAGCAACCTTAACCACTTGGCCAAGTATGCCCCTGCAATAAATCTTAAGTCTGCAATCTTAACCATTTAATAATAATAATCCATAAACTGGACCTGTTCATCAACAAAATCATGTGAAAAAACTATGAAAGTAAAAAATAAAGACTTTTGAAATTCTTAAGTTTAGAATATTATTTCTTTTTTAGTTTTATATACATGTAAAGAAGAGTTTCAGCCATTGGACTAGTAATGGCAAAAAAATGCATAATTTAAAGACCCTACCTGAATGTACCTTAGCGAGCTTCGTAAAATGCCCAGGTTTGACGTCCTTCTGTCCTCTAAATTAGGTATATTCTTCTTGAGAAAATCAAAACATTCTTTCAGGTGTGCTCGCCTGTAATAATGTAACAATTGCCACTGACTACCAGATGAAAATAAAATTTGCAAAAATCACAGACAGTTAATATTTTTCTAACCTAACAGAACAATATTATGTAATGTAAGAATGTCAATTAAGAATTACTTTAATAATTTACCAGACAGCCTTTAGAATTGAGCAGTATTTCTCAATATTAAGTAATGTAGCAGTTTTTCTCAATATTAAGTAAAGTAATTCGTTGAAAATACAATGTATACATCTTAATCTAAAAGAAAATTTAGTGCTAATTTCATTTTGTCATAACTGATCAAGTACATTTAATATACATGTAGAAACCAAATGAAAATTTCAAATATGCACAAAAGTATTCAGAGTATTTATTGTAAAATAAACCGATAGTTTTGTTTATGGAAAACATAGTCTTAAAATGACAATATGGAAACTAAAATTGGTCAACAGAATATATTAAACAAATTTGTTACTGAGCCAATAACTAGTAAGCACTTTGCATGTGACTTGATCTGAAGAATCAACTGTTAAAAGTTTTGATTTCAGCGACTGTTTTAATTTTCGGATTTAGCCTTTTCTTTTCTTTTTTATTAATCCCAAGAAATGCTTTTATTTTTATCACCTAAAAGCTTTTTCTTTTCATTTTCTGTTCTAGTTTCTAAAAGGTTACTCATTGGCCAACCACCTGAATCATATTTTGTGTCTGCTGCTTTTTGGGAATAGTTCAGTTTTAGTGATTTGGTATATTGTATGGAATTCTACTTTGATTTCATTTTGCTTCTTGTATGATAAATAATTTTTACATTGAGCACTACATTTTCAGGTAATAACATTCAACCGACTCAAAAACCATTATTCAAACATTTTAAAACTCCTGTTTCCTCTTTCTAATTAGGAAATTTTTTATTCTTTTCTGAGGCATAATATGCTTTTAATTAGTAATTCATTATATCAATTATTATAACGAATATAATTATTTTTAATGTTTGGCATTTTACTCACAAATAAATGTAGAGTATGCAGCTTTACGGAACAATTTTATGACTTGTGTTAAAACTTCTGATTATATGGAAAAATGATTAGCAGCAAGTTCATACAGCCCCGATATTCTGTCATATTTCCCATTATTTCCCCAATCCACAGGAAAAATTCCCAATTGAATGTTACAAAATAAAAATATTGAATAACGAAATCTAAAATATTTGAAAATCAGGGCTTTTTCACTGTTAGGCCTAACAAACAAAAATAATGTTTGTTTCCAGTGACATGGTTTTAAAAAAAAGGGTAAAATAATAGGGTAGGTAAGTTTTGGTTTTTTTTTAAATATTTTTTTATATCAAATGCGACGGAAATATGAATATGGGGCACAACGTTTATTATGCAGCGTCAAACAAAACATGCAGCCTGTTTTCCCTCAAAAAGTTTAGGGTCAGTGGCCAAAAAGAAGGGTAGGTAGGGACACCGGAAACAAACAATTTTTTTGAGGCCTTATGGTGCTTATATGTTTGAAGATGCCATCCTAGACATTCATTTAATCACTGTAAAATTTAAGGCATGCATTTTTTCCCTAATTTTTGACAAAACATTGCTGAAATTCCCGATTCTATGGGTATGGGTCATATTCCCATATCCTTGAGAAAAACCCTGAATGACAACCCTGGTTGCTCAAAAAAGTAATGTATAAACTGCCAATGTACAAACAAGTGGGCCATGATGGCCCTGAAGTCGCTCACCTGTATATAGACCCTGGAGCGGGGCCAGTTTAAACCCCATGGCTTAACAAACTTGGTAGACACCCATTAGAAGATGTTTCATGCTAAACATCTAAGGTCTAGCTCGTTGGTTTTTTTTAAAGAAGTTTTTTTTCAAGTTATTTCTTTACACATATAGATAAAAACAATGACACACCTGGGGCAGGGCCAGTTTTGACCCCAGGGCTTTTATTTGAACAGTCTTTGTAGACACTTTCTAGAAAATGTTTCATGCTTAATATCTAAACTCTAGCTATTAAGGTTTTTTCAAAGAATATTTTTAAGTTTTTGCTATACACATATAAGGAAAATCAATGCCCCCCGGGACGGGTCCAATTTTGACCTCAGGGCTTTTATTTGAACAAACTTGGTAGACACTCACTAGAAGATTTTTCATGCTTAGTATCTAAACTCTAGCTATTTGTTTTTTTTTTCAAAAAAGATTTTTTAAGTTTTTGCAATACATGTACACATATAAGGAAAATCAATGACCCCCGGGGCGGGGCCAATTTTGACCCCAGGGCTCATATTTGAACAAACTTGGTAGACATCCATTAGAACATGTTTCATGCTAAATATCTTAGCTCTAGCCTCTAGCTCTTTCGGTTCCTTAAAAGAAGATTTTTTAAGTTTTTACTATATGCATATAGGGAAAATCAATGACCCCCTTGGGCCAGGCCAATTTTGAGCCCAGGGCTTTTATTTGAACAAACTTGGTAGCCACCCATTTGAAGATGTTTCATGCTAAATATTCAAGCTCTAGCTCTTTGAGTTCTTTAAAAGAAGATTTTTTAAGTTTTTACTATATGCATATAGGGAAAATCAATGACACACCCCCTGGGCCGGGACCAATTTTGACCCCAGGGCTTTTATTTGAACAAACTTGGTAGACACTCACTAGAAGATGTTTCATGCCAAATATCTAAGCTCTAACTCTTTTGGTTTCTTAGAAGAAGATATTTAAAGTTTTTTCTTTTGGTTGCCATTGAACAATTTTCAAAGGTGACCACCAAAGGAACATTCCTGTGAAGATTGGATGAAACTGACTTAGTGGTTTATGAGGAGATGTCATTGTAAGTAAAAGTTTACGGACGACGGACGGACGGACAACCACAAAAGCTCACCCTGTCACTTTGTGACAGGTGAGCTAAAAACTGGTTTCTCTGTCATATAAACCTACCTGTATACATGAGATTCTGGTTAACAAATGTTCTTGTCTAGTCCAAAACACCCTACAAACCAATGGAATAATATGCTAACTATATTATCCAAATAAATCAAAACTGTTCAATCTTAATTCTGAACGAGAAATGCAGGCACTCCTCGTTTCGTCATATCCAAATAGAAACAAAACTTTAATGTGTATGGGAAATAAAAATTTTGTTTGTAGCAGTCAGTCAAAAGTTTTTCCGCCCCCAAAAAGTTTTTGATTATCCTCCAGTTTAAAGGATCCATTTCTCTCATAATTTGTTTTTATTTACTTTAGTTTGTCAGATATTCTAGGATAAGATTTTGTGAGTGCCAACATTTTGTAGAATTAACAAGAACAACATATATATGTCACAATGTACAGACCTGTTTTTCTCCAACTTGTTGTGAACTTCTCGAGTGCCAGCTCTGTAGAAACAAAAGCAGCTCCGTCATAAATAGTTCACAACAACAACAACAAAATATTTTGTTATATAATTAGTTAATTACACTGTCACAAGTAAATGATCATTTTCTATTTACCATGCTAAATATCCTACAAGGACTATACCATCTTTCAATCTAGACAGGGACGTTAAACTTTAAATTCCCTCATCCCCCCCCCCCCCCCTGGTCTTATCCTTGTAAGGGTTTGTTTGTTTTATTAGATCTTTCGTTGTACCAACACAGTATAGGTCATATGGCGACATTCCAACTTTAGTGTTGGAGGAAGACCTCAGGCGCCCTTTCGTGCATTGTTTCAGACACAAACATGCAAATGAGTAGAACCACTAACGTTCCGTAAGCTAGCTGGATAGCTTCCTCACATGAGAGAATCCAAAGTCCCTGTTGAGATTCGAACCCACCATGGTCAGGGGCAGTGGTTTGTAAAGGTTAACATCAAAATATGCTCTAACTCAATGTTTAACACTTCAGACTTTGAGACAGAACAGAATTGCCAGCTTATCCTGCATGGGTGGATTTGGGTGCTGCCACCATGTTAAGGTTCAAATGTTCAAATATTCATTTACTGTCTAATGCATATTGTTTCTATGATGTCTTAATCATCTCTTTTTCACAGAACATACTCATGCTATGATATTTTGCCCAAAATTTGAACATTAACATGGTTTTTACTAAAATTACACTCAATTTTTGATATAAATCAATATTTCATTAATGTCCAAATATGTATTATCACATCATTAACATGACATTATTTTTTTTCTACTTTGCAAAAGTACATAATGATATAAACGGTCTGCTCAAGCATCACTGCATTTTTGGTTTAACACCTATAAAAGAGATATTTTTTCTATGATAGTCTTTTAGAGAGATTATTGTTTGTTTCTAAAGTGTTTGTTTAGTTGTTCCATCCGCATATGATAGAGCCACCAACCTTCCATAAACAAGCTGATTAGTTTCTGTAATAACTTAAGTATTAAATTTGTATTTTTGCCTCAAGAGTTTACCTCTATAATCACCCGTCACAACTCTGACTACATCAGCTTATATTTGCTTGAAAGCAATAACAAATTTTCTGATTTCTTTTAACCTGCGGAATATCATAAACAGACTTATCCAGCTTCCACTGTCTGATATCCCATTTATTAATGACCATTATCAACTTTGGGGATTATATCAAAGACTTAAACTTTCAAAGTTTGAAAGTCTGTTAACAGTATAAAGCCTGGTCAGACTGCATGAATCCATGTGTAGCCTGAGCTCAGTCACCTCACTTTATACTGGTGGCAAAGGTTAATCCATTTAGATTCCAGCAGAAAAATATTGGTTAAAGAAGCAGTCTTTTTTAAATAAGCAGTCTTTTTCCCTCTCAAAAAATCCATATAAAAAAATTGAAACAGCAATGGTACAGGACAAATTATCTTAAACTGTAACACATTGCAAAGACCTCAGAACTAGTACCATCTTTAGTTATTCTTTTCCATATAAAGAGCTTAAAACAGCACTAGAGATAGAGTTAGGACAAAATACCTTACATACATTTTGTAAATACACATTACAACAAAAATGTTTTTAACTATCAATTGAGTTTCTGATATTGCTACCTGAGAAAGAAGTTGTCTGATCCTTGAGAAACTGGTGTATCAGATCTGCTTGACCTGAAAAAAAAATCAGAATTAAACTATCAAAATGTCATTTGTCATTCTCACTTACCGTATCTCTTTATAAAAACTTTTAAAGAATCCTAATATTACTATTTAAACTTACTATAAACCTGCATAAACCAGCGCTAACTGCATAGACTGTTCTTAAAAATATTGCATAAATTTAAATCACACTCTTATTTGAAAAATTCTGCATTAATTAATACTGAAAAGTAATGAATTAACTAATCCTGGATATCTTCAAAATATGACTTTATGCATCTCAGTCTTTCTAATTTTACAAGAAATATAAAAACTATAAATTCATTAAATGGAAGTATTACATTTTGTACATTTTATAATTTTTTTTAAAAAATTTCACAATATTATGAATAATATTAGCTCTCTACATTGAGAAAAACCAATTAACTTAAACTAGCTTATTTTGTTTACTTTGTTATAGTCTAAATAATAGCATTCAAAGTGTAAAAAGAAAAAGTAAAGAAAGAAGAAAATACTAGTTTCTTGAAAAACTTGAAAATTTAACAAGCTTCATTAATTTTTAATTGTCTCATTGTCATAATTTATAATTTTCAGCAGCTGCTATAGGTTATTAATAGCATATACATATTCATTATTAAAATCAAAGATGCTAGTTTTAACATTTTTATCATTGTGAATGTCTATGAGGATAGGTATTTAGGCTCCTTTAAAGCCTTAAGGTGATCACGTGATTTGTATCATATGATTATTTATAATAGTCAAGGTCAAATAAGCATGCTGGTTGCTATAAATAGAATTATGTTTGTCGGCGTTACAATTTTGCCGTTCCTAAATTTACCCGGATTTAGTGCGAGGTCGTCCCTTTACGAAATGAAATCCACTGTCACTGCTATCAAACGACGTTCCAGGTTCTGAGAATTGCCTGTCTAGACTTTGGCGCAGCTTTTTGTCCGCATCGGTACCTGTCGTAAGAAATTAAAAGTCGCATGATGCCGGATAATATGCAAATTAGCTTTCCGAACAAGATATCTACGCAATATTTCCAGCTTGCCCTAGTTTCGTTTAAAGAAAATATCTCTATAACAGTAGATGAGAAATTATCAAAATCATTTAAAAATCGACGTGAGAGCAATGCAGAATACAACATTAGGTGATAAAACTTTCCAATTAGTAGAATAAACTTGCTGCCATGTGCGAGAACACCACGTGCTACATACCTTGTCCGCGCGACTCCAAAAATTCAGCTGCTTCTAATAAAGTTTCCAAACTCATCTTTCTTCTTTGGTGTCACTAAACATCTATTCACAACAAGGTATTCTTATTACGAGTGACGATCGTCCAAAAGATACAAAATATCGATGTTATTTTGAGCTCGCCTGCTCCGTCGCGAAGATGGCGGGCGGCTTGATCAAAACATCGGTTTGCAAACACGAATAAACACCACGTGGACTTTGATTGACGGGCGTTCGTAGGAACCAATCAAATCTTGTGTTACTTGCGCGAATGTTCCGTTTCATTAACTGGGTCATTTTGGTAGCATCTAATATTTTCCATGATTAAGTTTTAAAGAACTGTTTGCATTTAATACTTCGTCATAATTGTAACCACCCTCTTGTTTTGCTATCTAACTATTTAACTGATTGTAAGATGGCGAAAATCAAACTTACTATTACAATTTTAAGGAACTACTTTTTGTTTCAAAACAATGTGGGCGTTGTTTAGTCTTGTGTAGGGCAATCAAGCATGTCTTTTTACGTCACAGAATTTGACAGATACATGTATGACACGACTACACGCTTACTGAAAAATACGTGCTAAGATAATCGATTTAATGCAGTGTAATTATGTCAATTAGGGTTCAATTATGGTAGCAACGTTACTGAATACCAGGTAATTAAATTGTTAACACGTTGTTCTAATAATTAATGCTTCCACACAAGTGAGATTATACGGGAAGTTGGAATTTCTGCTTTGATAAAGTGGGTGGGGTAATACAATGTGTTGCTGCCTCCGTTGCAGCCCTGCTTCTTGTATTTGATAATTACACTAACATTATGGTGACATTCACTTAATCAACGCAGTTTCTTAAAACGTAACTAATCAACGCAGTTTCTTAAAACGTAACTTATTAGTCTTTGTTTTAAATCATTTGAAATATGTATCAATTTATAGTTCTCCCTTCTATGTATACTGGTGCCTCATATTTCCGTGGTACTTAACTGTTTAACCCAGACAACAAAAGTTAAGAGGATAAAATTCTGGAAAACACAGTGAATATTGTAGGAGACACATGTCAATTGCATCATAGTTTATTCAATTTAATGTTTGCATGTAGGCAATTATGTATACAACAATTCAATACACACCCATCTGCGGCCTTGTGAGTAAATTTGTGTTCTCATATTTCCAAGGCAATTACATTTTAACAACTTTTAAAAGCAAAACCAATATTAAACTTTATCTATTAGAACACCTATACCTAGGCTCATCTGAAAGGGGCGATTTTCTCTTTGGCATTTATCAAATACCTCAATGGTTGTTTTACAAAGAAGATTTTCTCAAAAGGTATGCAATCTAAAAGAAAAATGGTGAAATATTAAATAACCTTGCTGTAAATCTGAATAAATATTTTTTTTTTAGTTCTATATGTAATATTTCGATAAAAATACAATTAAATAGTAAAAGTAAAACTACTGGCAGGTTCATTAAGTCTAGGAGGCACTTTAGACTGTTTAAGTCTGATACCTTGGAAATATGGGTACCACGGAAATACGAGGCACCAGTATACAACAATTGAGTTGTTATATTTTCTCAAAATCAATTCCTTTTATGTGCAAACTTTGATTTTTTTACTTTCTTTTATACATGTATGGGTTCTTAAATTGTGCTGATAAGTGATATGATGTCTGTTGAACTTGTTAGAGTTTTATCAAATGACTGATATGCTAAGTTGATTTCCTATATTTCCTATAAATTATTTTCCATGATTATACACACTGCAATGTTTCAGGTAATCTTAACTCTGTCTTTCTCAGGACCAAACAATTATGTTATATAATAGACTAAATATTCATAGTTTTTCTTAATTTTACGTTTTCAGGTGACTATAGAGTAACAGATTGATTGGAAGATTAACAATGTGGATGATATGTGACAATATGCGGGGCTTTATGGCCTCAAGGCCTCCATTAGTTTTGTTTATGCTATGCCTTGGAATATTCGCTTTTATACTTCTCACTGTGGGCTATGTAATCAAGGTGAATGATATCAGAAATCCAGATGAAAAGGTAACAGTGACTTAAAGTCTTTAATGTAAATTCTGCCATTGTGATAAACAGTAATGATATTGTATCATTGTATTTTGATATATTTCAGTAAATTAATTATCAATACAAACTCAAAAAAAAAAGATATTTGATAGTGTTGACTAATAAATAAATGTTTATGTCCAGAAATGACAAAAAATAAAGTCACCAATGCATAAATGGAAATATGTTCCCTATCAAAAAGATATGTGTTAAGTTTTATTATAAAGAAGCATAATTAAGCTTTATCAAAAACTGTTCACTTCTGGTCACAGAAATTGAATAATGTGCAGCTTTACATGGACTTGAATAATCAAGAACAGTGTTCTGCAGCTCTACAGAATGAGCTACTGGCTGCATACATATATGAGCCGCGTCATGACAAAACCAACATAATGGGTTTGCGACCAGCATGGATCCAGACCAGCCTGTGCATCCGCGCAGTCTGATCAGGATCCATGCTGTTCGCTTACCAACTCTATTACAAGTAGAGAAACTGATAGCGAACAGCATGGATCCTGATCAGACTGCACGGATGCGCAGGCTGGTCTGGATCCATGCTGGTCGCAAACGCATTACGTTGGTTTTGTCGTGACCGGCTCATATATATTCTTTTAGGTACGGAAAACATTGTGAATTGACTCAAGAGATATAAATCAACACAGGCTCATGTTGGGTGCCAAATTTCACTTGATGAGAAATATGTGCAGTCTGATCAGAGCAATAATGAATAGAACCATTCCCTGCTCTAACGTTAAAACTATTAGCTGAGCTACACATTAGCATGCACATAATAAATAATTTATACTCCCCAATTTGTAAACAGTTCTATAAATTGAAATCAGCATGCATATGAAATATAAATGAATTATACTCAATATTATATTGATGAATATTTGTCTATCAAATCAATAACATCAAATGGTAGTTAACTTATTGGATGGCAAAGTTATTTATAAACGTTGTTGACTTTTTAAACATTTGGCTAGTACAGCTTCATGGTGATGTTTAATTTCTATCATTGGTATTTGAATTGTACTTATACCATATACCTCTATCACCAGTATAAAGAACCAACAATGTGAACATCAAAAAATTACATTTTTTGCAATAATTTGCTCTTGTATTATAATTAACATAGTTATTCAATGTGGCTTATTGCTGTGGCTTAATGCTGTGATCTGGAGTGAAAACTAACGCCACCACAACCACAAATTAATATAACTTTTTGGTTGATAATGTTTATCAAGTATTATTGAAAAAAATTTAATTGTCATTTTTGAAGGGGACTATTAATTTTGCCATGGCATTGGAAAAAGATGATCGTTCCATTGCAAATATGAACCAATAATGTCATCTGCATTATCTAGTTCTCAAGCACTCCTATTTATTTTTATAAGAGTTAAGCTTTTAACACTTCAGTACTGCACATAGGTTACAGTATGACTGTCTGTTTGTTTGTTTGCTTGTTCTGTCTGTTTGTTTATTTGTTTATGTAGAAAGTAAGCAACATAATCAGTGTATGTCCTTTTCTAGATGACCTTAACCTAGAATCAATATGTATAAGTCATTGTCATTTATAATATAGATTTTACCTTATCTTTGTTGAGATTGTCCCATTGATTTTCTGTAAGTGACAGACATTATGTTCATTTTCTGCCATCAGGTGGAGCTGAACTTATAGCTGTATACTTCAAAAGATTTTCCATTATATTAATGGTAGTCATCCAGTAATTGATTAAAGAGAAAAAAAAAAGTTCAAAATATAAAAGACTCTTAATGACTAATTAATGACTTTTTTCTCTTGACAGACTAATAATAATATTGATATGAATCAATAAATTCCAAAGAAATATACACTATAAATGAAAAAGCCATACCAACACAAATTGTGGTGGTGGTATTGGTAGTATTCACTCTGGATCATAGCAGTCAGCCACACTGAATTTACCAGAGCACAGTTCAGCCACTGCATTGTTTCTGGACAGGCTGTCAAACAGTTTACCAGTACTAGTTGCTGTTGCTTCGGCAAGGAATGATTTCAGTACATGCCAGAGCAGAGATAAATCAAACCGTAAGTAGATCTGGGTCACACAATTCACAGTCCAACATAATTTGCGGTAACTGGATGGACCTCACATATATAGATATTTAATCTTTTTATATTACAGGATTGGAATGATTTTCTGGCAGGTTTTAAGAATGTACAATTTTGTATGGTATCGGATGATCTAGATTCTATAAATAGTACAGATGACGATGGTCATCTTGGCAGCAAGAATGTTAAACAGGTCATTTCTGATGTACATTCCAAATTAAAAGGGGAAACCCCACAGACTACAGAGAACCCTGGTAGTTCAGAAGATATTATGTAAGTTGTTAATGTGTCTTAACATTTCTGTTAATTTATGATGATAGTTTACAGGGCTTTTTTTCTTTCTATTGCAGGGGCTGTTTTAGGGCTGCTTCCCCAGAGAAAAATTCTTTAAAATCATGCAGTTTTCCCCAAAAATTGAATTTACATCAATTTTTTTATTCCCCTTTTGCAAATATACCGTGTTATTTTCCCCCAAAATTAAGGGCAGGGCTGCTTCCCCAACCTGTGAATAAAGGCCTCGTTTATGATTTAGTCTTTCATGGAGCTCAGACTAAAAGGTCTATGCATAAAGCGAAAAATGTCTCCCTCATTCAGAGTGCATTGTATATGTATTTAGCGCATCATTGGTCAAACAATGCAGAATTGGTATGATCCAAGCTGGATCATATTAAAGAATATTATACATGTACATGTATAAATGGATGGTTCAATTGGTGTTCAATATACATGTACTGTAAATAGGATTGCTCTATTAAAACTTATTTATTGTCAGTTTAGAGTCACTTTCCAAGAAAGGACTGGCATAGATTTTGACTGAACTATGGCCCCCTTTGTGAACATTATGGGTAAAAGATTTTTGGTTAAAGTTTGCATGCAAGATTTCATAGATAACATAAGTTCTGGATTTTAGCTTATGCATCAATTCTTGATTTTAGTTTTTGCATGTATAATGATATTATTCGCAATCCATGTTCTGTTTAAATTTTGAAATTCCCTTGAAGTAATGATTCGAATAATAGATGTTTAAAATTAGATGACTTGGTCTCTTTGTTACAATGTAAGCTATTAATGTGATTATTTGTATGATTTATATATATAAAATGACTGTTTTACAGTATGGTATCAGTACCACTGTGGGTGGAGGTTAAACCAACATTAGACTTTGTCAGCATACCACACAATGTGACACATCTTAGTACAAGAATGAGTGGGAAACAAATGGGCATGGAAGGTATTTTAGTTAGTTATTCAATAATCATCATGTAGTCTGGCCTGGCTTTGATTGTGTTATTTTAAATCTTTTCTTGATGGCAGTGACTGAATCTATATGTGCCGATTGATCATGATCTGTAGTGTATTTGGATAATTTGCTATTTAGTCGGTATATACATGTATTTTGTAATTTTCTTTACTTCCCTAAAAATTGATGAATGGTCATAATCAAATTAACTTAATTATCAGGGGTGGCATAATCTTAATTTTGACTTGTTCGTCTGATTTATCTGAAGCATTTCTTAACTTGTCCGTATGATATTATATAGTCAATTCTTGAAAATTTTCCTTGTCCATACAGGCTGCGAGACAACCTGGGCAATTTGAGAAATTGATTTTACTGCCCCTGCACTTAATGCTTTATACTTTCATGATATAATATAAAAATTGTATGTTATATCTTAACAGTTAGCTTGGTTAAGAAAATTTTATATTTTTATTTTGTTTGTATGTTTTTCAGGTGATAATGCTAATACCGAGTTTAATGTGACGTTAACTCTACCATACCAGTGGAATTCCTCATTATGCCATTCCAACACACAGTGTAAAGTTATACTTATACAGACGTGCGTCCAGCTTCAAGCACCACAAAAACTCTTCCCACATTCCAAGTATGTATACCAGTACTTTATTTCTTTTAGATTTTATGAGCCGTGTCATGACAAAATCAACATAATGGGTTGGCGACCAGCATGGATCCAGACCAGCCTGCGCATCCGCGCAGTCTGATCAGGATCCATGCTGTTCGCTATCAGTTTCTCTACTTGTAATAGGGTTTGGAAGCGAACAGCATGGATCCTGATCAGACTGCGCGGATGCGCAGGCTGGTCTGGATCCATGCTGGTCGCAAACCCATTATGTTGTTTTTGTCGTGATGCGGCTCATATAATAATTAGGTTTGTATTGATATATTGGCACGTTTGCTGTTTTTGCTCTGTTCAAACAACTTTAACCTTGCCCATTAAACCTTCATTGGTCAGAACATATTCATCATCTAAGTGCAGTAAGGGTTAATTTCTAAATTTAATAGGAGTTAACCAGTTGCACTAAGGTGACAATATAAGCTTGATACAAATTACGTCCAGAAAAAGCTTTATTTTGTAATACATGTATTATATCCATTCATGCATGACCTTGACCTTCAAGTTTGAGTTTTTATATTTCACCTAACTGTTATTTATTTACAGATTTCGGGGTCTGTCATACTTGAAGCAAAGTCATTATTTGTCTTCAAGTTCAAATACACGAAACAGTATCACTGTTTGAAGTTTGAAGATTTATACCATAAAGGTTTAGGTTGAATATGAATTTTATAGCTCTTTTGTAATTTCAAAAGCATTGAAATATGAACTTGTATAACAGTTTTAAAGTAACAGCATCTGTGTAAAACTTTTGTTACACAACTTTTCGTACAACATCATATCTTATCATCCACTAAAGACAATTGTTTGTAACTTCCAGGAAACCAAGTATAGGACAGTGTAGGACAGATAATGGGACAGGCGGAGTTGAGAGCCATTTTAAGATGATCAGTAAGCGACGATCAGCTGTGCGACCTATTGATATTGTTTGTAACAGTATGCCCTCGTTTACAATGAAACATGAGAGTGATCCTACATTAGCGATCATGTTATCTCTGGTATGTCTCCTATTTTAAAATATTGCCAAGATTTTTCTGTGTTCCTGACTCAGGTTTTGATCTCAGGACTGCCTGTTAACAAGCTCTTCAGTTAATCACTTTGATGGCTGTGCTTGAAATAGAAGCCTAGCACTAGAAAAAGTATTTATAATCTATGACAAATTTTATTGATTTCAGTTCACTTTGTAATAGAAACCTAGCAGTGGCTAGCACTAAAAAGTATTAATAATTTATGACAAATTTTATTGATTTCAATTGCTGAATTTAAGTTTCATTAAGGGGACCCCTTGAAAACTACAATGAACTCTCCCAAAATCTCAATCATAAGGTCCTTTAGCAGTTTTTAGCATTCTGAATTTCTTGAACAGAATTGATAAATACCTTCTATGACCTTTTATTTTAATAACAAAAGATTTGACCACAAACATATTGATATGTGCTCTTTTGTTAACAAATATGTTGTGTGTGAAATTCTTATTGTATCCACTGATCAGATAATTAGAATTAGACAGAACAGGGATCTTTGTATTGTACAGCTCCAGTTTTTGGAACTGTCCATTAGGAATTAAGAGGATATCAAGATGAAAATTTAAAGTCAGTCAGGCAACAGTATAGAGCCTGCCTGGCTGCAAACTGTTGGCAAAGACTGATCAGTTGATGTTTCAGCAATGTAACATACAAGCATTCTTTTCCATTTCCATAAGGTTTGAATGAATAATTGCTATGTGGGATTAACCCTTTAATGGAAAGAAGCTGTAATTACATGCTCATAAGTGACCAGTGAAGAGCCTAGTTAGATTGCCTATGAACAGCCTGCAACATTTTCGATTTTGTCATTTTGGGTGTTTTTAGCTCACCTGTCACTTTGTGACAGGGTGAGCTTTTGTGATCGCTTTTCGTCCGGCGTCCGTCCGTCCGTCCGTCCGTCGTCCGTCGTCCGTCCGTAAACTTTTGCTTTAAATGACATCTCCTCATAAACCACTGAGCCAATTTCATCCAAACTTCACAGGAATGTTCCTTTGGTGGTCACCTTTAAAAATTGTTCAAAGAATTTAATTCCGTGCAGAACTCTGGTTGCCATGGCAACCGAAAGAAAAATCTTTAAATATCTTCTTTTAAACAACCCTAAGAGCTAGAGCTTAGATATTTGGCATGAAACATCTTCTAATGAGTGTCTACCAAGTTTGTTCAAAAAAAAGCCCTGGGGTCAAAATTGGCCCCGCCCCGGGGGGTCATTGATTTTCCCTATATGCATATAGTAAAAACTTAAAAAATCTTCTTTTAAAGAACTGTAAGAGCTAGAGCTAAGATATTTGGCATGGAACATCTTCTAGTGAGTGTCTACCAAGTTTGTTCAAATAAAAGCCCTGGGGTCAAAATTGGCCCCGCTCTGGGGGGTAATTGATTTTCCCTATATGCATATAGTAAAAACTTAAAAAATCTTCTTTTAAAAAACCGTAAGAGCTAGAGCTTAGATATTTGGCATAAAACATCTTCTAGTAAATGTCTACCAAGTTTGTTCAAATAAAAGCCCTGGGGTCAAAATTGGCCCCGCCCAAGGGGGTCATTGATTTTCCCTATATGCATATAGTAAAAACTTAAAAAATCTTCTTTTAAAGAACTGTAAGAGCTAGAGCTTAGATATTTGGCATGAAACATCTTCTAGTGAATGTCTACCAAGTTTGTTCAAATAAAAACCCTGGGGTCCAAATTGGCCCCGCCCCAATGGGTCATTGATTTTCCCTATATGCATCAAGTAAAAACTTAAAAAATCTTCTTTTAAAGAACCCAAAGAGCTAGAGCTTAGATATTTGGCATGAAACATCTTCTAGTGAATGTCTACCAAGTTTGTTCAAATAAAAGCCCTGGGGTCAAAATTGGCCCCACCCCGGGGGTCATTCATTTTCCCTATATGCATATAGTAAAAACTTAAAAAATCTTCTTTTAAAGAATCGTAAGAGCTAGAGCTTAGATATTTGGCATGAAACATCTTCTAGTGAATGTCTTTCAAGTTTGTTCAAATAAAAGCCCTGGGGTCAAAATTGGCCCCGCCCCAGGGGGTCATTGATTTTCCTTATATGCATATAGTAAAAACTTATAAAATCTTCTTTTAAAGAACCCAAAGAGCTAGAGCTAAGATATTTAGCATGAGACATGTTCTAATGGGTGTCTACCAAGTATGTTCAAATAAAAGCCCTGGGGTCAAAATTGGCCCCGCCCCGGGGGTCATTGATTTTCCTTATATACATAGCAAAAACTTAAAAATCTTCTTTGAAAAAACCCAAATAACTAGAGTTTAGATATTAAGCATGAATCATCTTTAAGTAAATATCTACAAAGTTTGTTCAAATAAAAACCCAGGGGTCAAAACTGGCCCTGCCCGAGGGGTGTCATTGTTTTTAACTATATGTGTATAGTAAAAACTTAAAAAATCTTCTTTTAAAAAACCCAATGAGCTAGAACTTGGATGTTTTGCATGAAACATCTTCTTATGGGTGTCTCCCAAGTTTGTTCAAATAAACAAATAAAAGCCCTTGGGTAAAAAATTGGGCCGGGGGGGGGGGGGGGGGGGGCTATATACAGGTGAGCGACCTCAGGGCCATCATGGCCCTCTTGTTATGTAATATTGCACTTTACAAAATCATTAAGGTAAAAGTTTAGTGAAGAAAGAAATCATATTGTTTAAAACAATATTTACCTTTACATGTGACTAAATTTTAGAAAAGCAATACATGTATAAATGTAATTAGTGCCCGCTCAACCGTTTTTTAACATGCAGAAAAAATATATTTGCTTTACGTATGATAATTTTTGTATTATAGTTTGTTCAGGATTATAGAAATACCTACTAGCATAAATCAATTAATGTTTTTTTAGCTCACCTGAGCAATGCTCAGGGTGAGCTATTGTGATCGCCCTGTGTCCGTCGTGCGTCGTCGTGCGTCGTCAACTTTTCACATAAACAACATCTCCTCTGAAACCAATGACTGCACATCAACCAAACTTTGCAGAAATGATCCTTGGGTGGTCCCCTTTCAAAGTTGTTCAAATGGTTCCGGTCTGTTGCATATGTAGGTCACAGGGCCAGAAAAGGATTTCAAAAAACACAAAATTAAAAAATCTTCTTGTCTGAAAGTACATGGGCCAGAGCTTTGATTTTTGGTATATAGTATCATCTATGGGTCCTCTACCAAAGTTGTTCAAATTTTGTCCCTACTGTCAAAATTGGCCCCGCCCCGGGGGGTCATAGGTTTTTCCTTATATGTCTATAGGTAAATCTAAAAAAATCTTCTTCTCTGATTTGGCAAAGGCTATGATTAGATATTTGGCATGAAACATTGTGTAGTAGACCTCTTTCAAGATTGTTCAAATAATGGCCCTAGGGTCAAAATTGGCCCCGCCCTAGGGGTCATTGATTTTCATTACATACATATAGTGAAAACTTGAAAAATCTTCTGGTCTGAAAGTAAATGGCCTAGAGCTTTGATTTTTGGTATATGGTATCATCTATGGGTCCTCTACCAAAGTTGTTCAAATTTTGTCCCTAGTGTCAAAATTGGCCCCGCCCTGGGGGTCATAGGTTTTTCCTTATATGTATTTAGTAAAATCTAAAAAAATCTTCTTCTCTGATTTGGCAAAGGCTACAGATTAGATATTTGGCATGAAACATTGTGTAGTAGACCTCTATCAAGATTGTTCAAATAATGGCCCTAGGGTCAAAATTGGTCCCGCCCCGGGGGTTCATTGATTTTCATTACATACATATAGTGCAAACTTGAAAAATCTTCTGGTCTGAAAGTAAATGGCCTAGAGCTTTGATATTTGGTCTATGGTATCATCTGAAGGTCCAATACCAAAGTTGTACAAATTTTTGTCCCTAGTGTCAAAATTGGCCCTGCCCCGGGGGTCATAGGTTTCTAAATATGTATATAGTAAAACATAAAAAAAATCTTCTTCTCTGAATTGGCAAAGGCTACAGGTAAGATATTTGGCATGAAACATTGTGTGGTAGACCTCTACCAAGATTGTTCAAATAATGGCCCTCGGTCAAAATTGGCCCCGCCCTTGGGGGTCATTGATTTTCATTATATACATATAGTGAAAACTTGAAAAATCTTATGGTCTGAAAGTAAATGGCCTAGAGCTTTGATATTTGGTCTATGGTATCATCTATAGATCCAAAACCAAAGTTGTTCAAATTTTGTTCCTAGAATTAAAATCGGCCCTGCCCTGGGGGTCATTGATTTTCCCTATATGTATATAGTAAAAACTTAAAAAATCTTCTTTTAAAGAACCCAAAGAGCTAGAGCTAAGATATTAAGCATAAAACATCTTCTAATGGGTGTCTACCAAGTTTGTTCAAATAAAAGCCCTGGGGTCAAAATTGGCCCCGCCCCAGGGGGTCATTGATTTTCCGTATATGCATATAGTAAAAACTTTAAAAAATTTCTTTGAAAGAACCCAAAGAGCTAGAGCTAAGATATTTAGCATGAAACATGTTCTAATGGATGTCTACCATGTTCGTTCAAATAAGAGCCCTGGGGTCAAAATTGGCCTGCCCCGGGGGTTATTCATTAGCTCGACTTTTTTTTTTTAGATATATACATATTATATATATACATACATATATATATTATATATATATATATATACATACACACACACACACACACATATATATATATATATATATAATATATATACATAATATGTATACATATATATTTATATATATATATATATATATATATATATATATAGACATAAAAAATCTTCTTTTAGAAAACCCAATAAGCTAGACCTTAGATGTTTAGCATGAAACATTTTCTAATGAGTGTCAACCAAGTTTGTTCAAATAAAAGCCCTGGGGTTTAAACTGGCCCCGCTCCGGGGGCCTATATACAGGTGAGCGACTTTGGGCAATCATGGCCCTCTTGTTTAGGAATTCTGTTTTTTTTTTTTCCATTTAATTGTCATGGTTACACAATTACTTACACAATTCGATATTGATTTCCCTCTTATCTACTAGTACCGGCACTAATAATCTGCAATTGATATTTACAAAGTCAGAAATAGGACTGATCTATTACACATTTTTATATCCGAAAGAATTAAGCATTTCCATGGTTACAATATCACACATCTTGTTTTATATTTTCCAGCAAGACAAATCGGCAATTAACCTACATTTGATGCACACGACCTACTTTCTATTTGTCATGGTGATTACGATGATGTGCTATGGCCTAGTTAAAGGACGACCTACAACCACCAAGGTCAAGAATCATGTCCAGTATTCAGAGGTATGATATGATATAACTTCATTCTTATTTGTATTCGTAAACAATGTAACTTAAAGGGGCTCCACTGAGGTTTTTTGACAAGATGGGACTGGAAATATTTTTTTGAGATTAATGTTCCATTTGATGTAGGTTTTGACCAATACCCTGTGTGCAAAATTTCAGAACATTTGCTGAATCTGTTTTTCCAGAATAATTTTTCTAATTTTGAAAATGACTCAAAACTGAAAAGTGTTGCAATTACAATGCTTTTCACTCAAATAGGGCTTAGAACAGTACAAAAAATATGATTTTAAATTTATTTTTGAGTGTGTTTCTTAATTATCATTTGCATAACTTTCTGTTTTAAGTGTAAAGGTTGATGTATGAAAGAAATTAAAATGTTATGTTTTTAGGCTTTAAGACCTCAGTGGAGTCCCTTTAAAATGAATGTAAATAATAGAATAGTTTTAAGGTGTAGTTAGGGAAGGTTGTTGATACTTATTTAGTTTCATGTCTTATCAAGTAGATTTTAGTATACAATTGCATTTTTGTTATTTTTGATATCTTTCAATGTTTTTTTTTTTTAAATAAGTGTCACATTTAAAAGCCTTATTTTTAAGCATATTAGTACTCAAAGTTAAAACCAGTATCTTCCTGAAATTTTACTATTTGTTATTAGTACATGTATTTAGATTCCAGATGACTTCAGCCTTATTTGTACATGCAGTTAAATTTTTTTATATTTTCATATGCAACCATTTTAGGTGTCAACTCAGGTGTAAGGAAGAGTTTATGCTGCCGTTACTATTGGAGATTAGCTGAAGTGTAAGCACAAATGGTGTAAGACGTTGCCTTTATCATTGTGATTTATAAAAACGAAACAAAATTGATAACTTTAATACAAGTGTGCAATATTTCGTGTCTCGAGTGGCGAAGTCTGTGCTGGATATCAAAATAAACTAGAAGAAAAACTTGAGTTTATTGGCCAATAAGGTGTCACCATTTATTGACCAATAGGAAGACTGCATTTACCGACCAATAGGAAGACAGCATTTATTGACCAATAGGAGGGCAACATTTATTGACAAGGTTGAAAGTATTGTTATAATTCAAGGAACAACTAGATCTTTATTTTATTGACAAACAGATATACAAGTGAGAAAGATATATGTTGGTTGAGTTTTGAACTTGTGTGTGTAGCCCCTGTACCACCAGTAATGTTTTATGGATTGGAACTGCTGTGAATTTTTAGGTCTGTAATGTCAAAGACATTTTTTGAACAGACGAGTCAATTTGAGCAGACAATAGTTTATAGATTACAAAGGTTAGAGTTCACTAAGAAGAAGGTTGGTCATACTTTATATTGGTGGTGTAGGTACATTATTATGGCGACTGGAACTCTATCTGTGTTAATGAAAGCCAAGCTTATAATCAGGGTTGTATTTTGTTTCAGTGAAGTGCTGTTTGTTATACATATAATGTTGTCTGTTTCTATAGACACTAAATTTAAAATTTGTGTTAATAATGAATGTTATATTATTTATTTTTGATATTTAATCCATATGTGTTGTTTTGTATAAAGTTGGGATTCTTTTGTGGTTAAATTTAATATATAATATGATATATATGTAAATGCAATTTTGAAATATTGGTACTCAAAAGTGGGTTTATTCATTGCCTTTAATACACAAAGATTATAATATGTAGAATTGATTAGCCTGGCTCTATACTGCTAGCATATTTTAGGAAAGCATAACTAAAAGCTTTCGAAAAGTAAATTGTTGTTTCATCTTAAGGACAAAAAAACACTAAATCTCAGATTAGATTATTCAGTAAAACCAAAGCCATTAAGAAAATGAATAACTCTGAGTAAGTTAACAATTAGAGAGTATTCAATGAGACAACAGATTACTAAAAATAGCAAATTAAATTTATTATTTCTGTGCTGAATTTGTGGAATGGACTTGCGGGTTTGTCAACTGTACAAGGCTAGATCAAACTATACGGAAGCCTGCTATTTTGGCATATATGTGTGTTATTAAAAAAATAGATATAAATTTTGATGTGTTGTAAAAAAAAATTGTAGAATAATGCACAGTTCGAGTTCAAATCCCCAGGAATGTTAACAATAAGGCCGAGAGACCTGAGTGATTAATTACAAAGCAATTTAACTATAAATGATGCATAATTGTATTATAATGCAAGAAAAAATTATATCTATTACCATTCTAACATGCTTACAAAAGTATGTTTAACTACATTTAGCATAGACAAAATTTTCCTTTGTAATTTATATCATAGAATATGAGATTATGTTTGTATATGTGAAATTAATGCATTCTCTGGCCTATTAGACACATTGATTATTAGATATATTTAGGTGTAAAAGTTGATTGACCAGTATTTTAATTTGACTAGTAGTCATATGACAATTTCGATATTTTTCGAGTGAGACTAAGAAAGTTTTGGAGCACCATACTAAATACCGTATTCCTGTATATACTGGACAAGGTGCTTGAATGATAACATGATAAAATCTTGACTATTCACATGCTGAAATACACTTCTAGACATCTAATTCATCTCTTCACACCAATTTATATATATGGTTATGAATGTTAAATGTAGGAATTTGCGAAAAAGCAATATATTTTCTACTTTATGATCATGATTTCTGCAAGCATCTAGAGGTACAGCACTACTCCAGCACTGTAGTGAGTTAAAGCCATATTTGTCCATAGCATTTTAAAGACTGTCCACATATCAAAGACATGCAGAATAGTACAGCAAGATTGGTACCTGTAAAAAGACTTTATATATACTTCTCCTTACTACCAATGTTAAAACAAGTATTTATTGACCTTGATTGATTACTAATACTGTGATATATATAAAAATCATGTTTGTGTGAGATATATTTAATAACTTCATTGGTGTGATATAAGTAATAACTTTATTGAAAAAAATGTGAGAGAAATTCATTCCATTATACATGTGGTATTGATAAACTACATATTTGTCTGTTGTTAAAAATTTTTGTTCATACATCATTTAAAAGTTCATAAAGATTTCTTTTCACACCTTTGTTACCTACAAGACAATATACCAATGCCACTGATAGGTGTTGTCTATTTGACTTTAATACAGATATGTCTGCTGCCCTTGGGTTTAATAAATCTATAAATATTTTTTTATTGAAATAAAGGTTATTTTAATTGGATGAATATCTATGTCGTACACTTTTTTTCCAGCTTAATGAATAATTTATATTGTTATCTTTATTTCATTGTTGAATGTTTATGTTTTGTATATATAACATCAGATATTTATAGTTTAATATAAAATAATATGTTTATGTTAATGTTTACTTGTTTATTTGTTTGATTGTTTGTTTGTTTGTTAATTTTTGTTTGTAATATTGGTTTATACTCAAGTGCTAACAGTTTTAAACATGTTCTTCAGTCTGTTGCAGTATTTCACTACAGTCCCAATTTCACATCATGAATGATATAATATTGCACAATATATAACCTCAATTTTCATTTGATAACCACAATGTTTATATTTATCCATATACACAACTGCAGTAATTCATCAATTAATTTTTATATTTTATTAAGGAGTTTGTACAGTATTACAAATTTGATACAAAAGCTTTTTGACATATGTCTGTATAACTAAAGATTTTTATTTCCTAATATAATAATATATTATTTGGCCACATTTGGTTACTGTGAATTCATTAATTTCGTGGGCATGAAATTTTGTGGTTTTGTCACAAAGAACATTTTTGTGGTGTCTTAAATTTGTGAACTGTTTATTATTCCAAAAAGGTAAAATTTTTAATGTCATGTAAAATGATCTTACAGCAAACGAAATGAAAATGAAATTTTGTTGGATCTTTAATTCTTGGATTGACCTATCCAGGAAAACCACGAAAATTAGTTCCCCACAAATAATTATGTTCTTTAAGTATATAAGCTTACAATTGTTGAACTCTATGGGGAGTGGTAGTAAGTGGGTTACCTTGGAATCATGTTAGTTTCCTTATAGGGTCACAACCAAGTTTCATCATGAAACATTAGTACTAGTTAGATCCAAGAAACAGACTAGACAGTGGTTCATATAAGCTAAATGCTTTCTCCATTTTTTCTTAATCATCTTTGTCCTATTCATTTATTTTGTTTACAAGCAATGTGTTAAAATTCTGTTTATGTTTAGATTTATAACTGTTGACAACTTATTTATATTTTTCTTCTATGTACATATTGGCAGACACAATTATTTATTCAATCATTATAGATATATACCAAATGTGTCTGAAAAACGATCAACTTTGCATTGTTACTTTGTATAATACATGGGATCATTTGTTTTTTACAAATGTAATTTTTGTATGCATATTAAGATAAGTTTATGTTGTTGTTTTTTTGTTAGGATATTATTGTGGATATAGATCACATTGATAATTTATTTATGTTTGGTTTAACCATAATTTATTCAACATATATGCATGAAGATAACACAATATAGAAATTTGACCGACAGCTGCAATAGTTCCTGGTAGTCCTCTCCTTAATTTAATTTTTTTTAGTGTATGAAATTATTTCTTATTAAATTGGATTGCAGTATTTTAAATGAATTGTAGCGTATTCACTTTAGTTTATATCACCTTAATATTAATCAGTCTAGTAAATAGACTGTTTATTAAAAATAATTTCAAACACTAAATTGGTTGATGTTCATTAGTAAGTATTTACAAAATTAAATTGGTCAAATAGCTGCCCAGCATTCCTGACCAGTTCAATTTTGTAAATGCTTACAAATGAATGTAAATGCTTACTGATGAACACTAACCTAAACAAAATGTTTGATTGACAACTTCTCACTATTATGCTGTAGTGTGATTTAATTCTGTTATAAATTCTGAAATTGTAAATAATGCCATTCTGTCAGTGGTTAATTTCAAATTAAAAATTTTATTCATCCATTATTGAGCTGTATTTTTCTAAGCTCAAGTTTTATAAAACTTTGATGCAAATCTCTTTCATTGATGCTGATTTTCCAACATTCCTGTTTATAAAAGGATGAAACATTTTGCTTTGACCTGTCTTGATAATGACAAGTCATTGATAATTTGGTTTTGAGATCAGTTTTTTGGATTCATTGTAAAGACTTGGGGTCACTAAGTTTCTTTATGATTGAGGACAATCAAAAACTGGTCTGAGAAAAGTAGAATGATGATACTTGTTTAAATGATAGTTGTTAAATTTATGATTCACATTAGTTTTATACACTGTGAATCAATTTACCATATGTTTAATAGAAAAAGGCTTTAGTACATAATGACTATCATAATTTGCACCAAAAATGTTTAGACAAATATAAAATATGTCATAAATCAAATGATCTTCTTTCAAATATATATTTAAAAAATGATGGAAATAAAAAATGTTACAAAACCTGAACAAAAAAGTTATGTGGTTTTCTCTTACCTTTGTTATATTCCCATGTAGCTACTGATGTATGACTGGTTGCTAGCTTGTTTATAATACAGAAGTGGATGGTCCCTGGCTGTATGACAACTACATTGAAGGACAAATGAATACAAGTGAGCAATGTTGGGTACAGGAGTCCTTTTTCTGAATTGATACCTTATTTATTTGGACTGCTGACTTCACAAAGTTACATGATGAGATTTCCTCATATATAATGAAGCATATGACCAAAAGCCATCTGAAGGAGCAACAATTTTGGACACAATATTTTCATAAAATTCAGCACAAATCTTGCAAGTGTACTGCTTTAAATTCATGGGATAAACACCATTTTTCTAGCTGGGTATAAATGATTGATTGGTTTGGTTTAATTGTAACATAAACACTGTAAAGATCATATGGCGACTTTCCAGCTTTTCTGGTAAAGGTTTAAAGCCACAGAACGGACACTGCAAGTACAACAACCGATAATCGATTAGGTAGCTGGGATAGCTTGCTCACTACTTAACCAACATGATCCAAAGATCTCCAGCTGAATTTGAACCAATAGAATTAAGGCATCCTCGGTAACCCAGGCTATTTACCATATTCTAGGATGTAGTATCACAGATATATTTGTATCATAGTTTGAGGACTTTCCTGTTGAAAATGTGTCCGATTTAAAACTTATACATATACATTGTGTTCACTGGAGTGCTGGTATTAGTTACCTGCACTCCAAAGCATGCCCATTGATTGGCTCATATTTGCTGGTGTTTACTTATTGTGACGGCAGAGAAAGGCAAAGCGATAGAAATATCGTATTCAGATGCTCGTCCATTGATTACTTTTTTGTAGGGTTTCATATTGTGACAACAGGGAATGTGTGTTTATATTTGACTATGATACCAAAGAGAAAGAACATTAAAACATTAGGCAATCTGATTAATACTCAGGCTGCTACGCCCCCTAGTACAAATCAGATAGCCTCATGTTTCGATGCTCTTTCTATTACATATTCTATATTTAGCTCCATGGTAGTATATATACGGAATGTGCACCGTGGATTTGAACGATGCCATAAGGTTTTAGGAACAAGTGATATGAAGACCGCACTTTACTTTAACCACTCAGGCATTGAAACGTGGAAAATGAACAAAGCTACACTACAATGATAATCATGTTTATTTTTCTGTTATAATTATCAACAGTTTAATGATTATGTTATTTATTAACAATCACAAATACGGCTATTAACAACAATACAATATATCAAATTATCTTTAATAATAGATACACTCTCAACATAGGAAACCTTTACAATTCATTTCTTAACAAATTTTTTTTAAGCTCAAAATTTTTGAAAAATTCTGATTAAATGATTTACATGTAACATTGAACTTTTCTCTTGTAGTTTGAATTTATTTAAAAAAATGTTTATTTGGCATTTAAATATATACAACAAAAAATTCAAAAAATGCATGATACAAATTGTTGTGTTAGACAAAATTGTTAGAATTTGAGTAAATAAATTTGTAACAAAATAAACTTGAGAAAAAGCACACCACTGGTATAAAATTTATATTTTATGATAAAATTAATACTATCTGTCTGAAAACACCACACCTCCAGGTAAGTTCAATAAATACATAATTATGAGCCGCGTCACAACAAAACCAAAATAATGCGTTTGCAACCAGCATGGATCCACACCAGCCTGCGCATCCGCCTAGAACCTGTTCTAGTTCTATCACCAAAATTCTACATTTTGTTTAACAATGTAAGAGAAATGTCTGTA